GACCCATTCACGTCCTAAATCTCTATAAATACGAATATAAGTCCCCTTCAACGCCACCAAAAGTCTCAATTAGGTTTTTCCCGATTTAGAGCCTTTGTGAAGAAGATCGTTCGAGGTTGTTGTTGTACGTGTTGAAAGTGGTCGACCACGTCGAAGGTGAGGTCGACCTAATGTAGCATTCGTCGTCGTCTTCTCTAATGTGTGATTTCCACCATCTAATTTGATATATTATTGTGTGCAGAATACTATTTGGTCGACCTTGACCTCAACCAAGTCGACCTGACGAGACAATTCTTCGATATTGAATTTAGGGCACAACACTTGGACTTCCGTACTTGTGAGGTAACGAAGATCAACCCAATAGGTCGACCTAATGTGTTTCAAGGTCGACCGTTTCTATTTTTTTTTTTTTTTTGTTGTTGTTCAACCTGAATGTCGACTTTGGCTTTGTTTGTAAGACTATGTTGTGCTTCAAAAGGTCGGCCGCTCAAGCTATATGGTCGACCTATCCGTTTTTCGATTTAATATTGCACTTGATTTTGTTCGTTAATTGTTATTTTCCTGCTAGATAGGTCGACCTAGGAAGATCAGAGGTCCACCTAGGAAGATCAGAGGTCAACCTTACAGGTTGTGATAGTCACAATTTGTCTTCCAGGTCAACCTAATAATTTGTCAGGTCGACCACGTCTCTGTTTTTTGGTCGATTGTAGAAATTTGAAGTTGAATTATGATTTGAATTTTTCTTTAAATTGTTTAGACGATGACGCATGGTGAGAGACTGCATCAAGATTTGGGTGAAATAATGAAAGTGTTGAAAGCCACACAAGAGCAACAGGTGGTGTGTCAAAAACAAGTCAATGACTTTTAGAAGTCCATTCGTGATATAGTGGAGCAATTTTCAGTTCGATTGAGAGATATGACTGGGATGATGCATGATGGGTTTGAGAGGCTAGAAGGTGCTATCAAAGATATAAGTGCAGAACGAATGGAGAATGGAGGAAGAGATGGTACAGGAAAGAAATTTGACTTTGATAAAGAAGAGGAAGACCATAATGACTCTGCAAATTGCTACCAGAGCATAGACGATTTATTGAAAGAGCACAATTTAAGGTAGACAAGTATATTCATATGTGATTGAAGATATTAGTATTACTATCATTAGTGCTAATTTGTTTTGTTTATATGTTTGACAGAGTGAAACAACGAATGGCAGCAAGGGTTCCTCTCCTAAGTACAAGAGATCTCGATATGAAAGTGACTCCTACACCACTCCACAGAAGGATCATTTTGTAAGAAAAGGATTATTTAGTGCTGATAGCGACGAAGATGAATCTAAGAGTCCTTTCAAAAAGCACGGAGTAAGGTTACGTTACATATTCATCTATAATGTGTGTTTGTGTTCATATGTTACTTTAATTTTAACTATGATTTGTAGGTCATGAAAGTGGAGGGCCTAGAAGGATTCACCAAGTAAGAGACGTTTTTTTTAGTGCGTGTGGTCGACCGTTTAGCCAATAAGGTCGACCTTGACTGTGAACAGGTCGACCTGTACGTTGCAAATCACAATTGACATTTCTGTTATTTTGATTGTTGCAGTTTGACCGTTGTTGACTTTTTTTTGAAAACGTGCAACGAAATTATTTGAGTTCGGTTATTAGCGAGAGTAGCTGGGTTTGCTCATCTGTAAGGAGCAAAGTGACAACTTTGAAGAGAGTAGAATGCACAACCGCAGGGTGGCTCCTGGAAGGCCATTGACGATGGATGCATATTCTCATTTCGAGAATTACGGGTTTCTAGGACCCTTTGTCGAGCAAGAGTGCCTGAAGGTGATATCTCTGAATGCACCATACTGCCCAAAAATGGTACAGTACTTCTACAACAACATCGTCTACCAACGTAATTCAAATGAATCCATTCATGCATTTAAAACCTATGTGGATGGGGTGGAGATGCACATCAGCAAGAATGTGTTGGCGCAAGTACTAGAGGCTCCAAACGAGGGGAAGAGAATCAATTCTTACACTACTTGGAATGAAACTCATTTCTCGAGAGCCAAGCAAATCCAGACGGTTTGTAGTCTTGATGAAGAGGAAGATGCTCAGGGTCACAGTAGGCCAACGAGTAACCACTTGACAGTTCAAGCCAGAGTTCTTCACCACATGCTTTCCTACAACATTCTGCCAAAGGGTGGACATCGGGAGACAGTCACCTACTTCGACATGGAGCTCCTCACCAACCTACTATTAGATGAGAAGGTGAACTTGCCATACTTGATCTTTAACCACATGCTTACTGCTGCAGAAAGTTCAAACATGAATCTTCCCTATGGGATGATCCTGACTTTGCTATTTGAGCATTTTCATGTGGATTTAAGTGGTGAGGTGGGCTTAAGAATCTCAAGGCAGGAGTTCTATACAGTTTCATATCTGAAAAATATGGGCTTTGAGCTGCGTAATGGTGAGTAATCCGAATAAACAACGCTCATGGTGCCCAAGGTGGTGATGATGATGATGATGATGATGAGGATGGTGATGGTGATGGTGATGAAGGAGCCGGCGACGAGCAAATGCCGCTGGCACAGAGTTCAACTCCACCAATTACCTTAGAGCGTGTGTGGGAGCGCATGGATGGCATGTACGAGTACATGGGCCAGATTTCTAGCCAGATGACTGACATGTAGGACTACATGGGGCAAATGACCGCCCAGATGAGCACAATGCAGGTGACTGTGAATGAGATGCGAGATGACTGGCGATCTTTCAGCGGAAGATACATGCATCCCACCACATCCGACCACCATCATGCTAGCAACACCAATGAAAAAAATGTGGATGAGGGAGAGAGGGGACATGAGTAGGAACTCGAAGATTTTAAATTGTGTGTTTTTATTGTTAAGTGGTCAAAACGATTGTTGATTGTTATTTTTTTGTTTTAGTTTTGTTTTTATGTGTGAACAATTATGATTTCTGTTTTATTGTATTTCTTGTTAGTTTGTTTAGTTGTTATGCTATGAAGTGATGCGTCCTTGTTATCATTATTTATGACTAGTTATGATGGTTTGAAACATAATTTGTACGAGCAAAAGAACCACACAAATTGACATACATAAGCAAAAAGACACGGGTCATAGGTTGACTTTCTTGTATTCGGTCGACCACGTACCGAATTAGGTCGACCTCGAAACCAACACTTGATCTTTATTTTACGTCAAATGATTGGACAAATTGATCGAACACTTGTCTTCTATCTGGTGGACCTCTTTCCGTATCTGGTCGACCATGTTGTTAATGACTGCCATCAAGTGGTCGACCTATATACCTTTACGGTCGACCATGTTGTTTCTGACGCCAAAGAAATGGCCGACCGAGGTTTTATTGTGGTCGACCAAAAATAACAACTTAAACTAAGTACGGTCGACCAGATGATCTTTGAGGTCGACCGCGATGCTTTCATATGCTGCCCAAATTAGATAATTGGGTTGACCTCCATCAGGATTAGATCGATCGAAAAATCCATGTTACGATGACATGCATGTTACCGTAGGCATACTCTTTTAATATTCCCACCTCATTTTCACAAAGTGAAAATAAAACTTAATTTCATATAGTGTCCTAAGAAATACTCCAAAATAATCCCCAATCGGCAATCCAACTCCTCATATCCCTCTCTGATTGCGACCACACTCCACTCCTCGACTATGAGTCATGACCTCCAGCTGCCAGAGTCCCTCCGTTGCCTCCAATGGCTGCGAAGAGACGACAACCAACACTCTTCCTCTAGTTACAGATCCAAGAAATCCAGCATCGTGCACCATCGCAATTTAATCACACAGCTCGGCGGCGCTTCTCTTTTTCTGGCGGAGGTCTCTTTAGAGAAATATAGGATCCTTGAATTCGCCCGTCTACAAACGATTTGATCTCTACAAGGATCCGCAGGTCGTCCTTGTGACCTAGCATCACCACTATGGTGAGAATGAGGAAACGACATCTGGATCCTCTGCCCACGGTCGTCTACTTTGGTGTGTCGGTCTTTGGTGGAGGTCCGCTTGGACGTCGACTTCTTGATCGTCCTCGTCTGTAGCTGCTGGCCCGTAGCTAGAGATATTTGCAGGCTGGTGGCGCTGGTGGAAGTAGGGGGAGCTGTGGTGGTGGAAGGGAGGTCGAGGAGAGAAGGGTACACAGCGGGGAGGTGGACGGCTAGATTAGCTATTTGAAGGATTATACAAATTAATATTTATTTTTATTAGTTGTGAAAACAAGGTGAAAATTATAAAAATTTAAATTTTTATTTATTTTTTAAGTTTTAATTGTCACGTCTCTTATTTAACGGTCAAATATTAGAGTGGACTACCACATTAGATAAATTTAACGGAGACTAACAGAGAGTGCCAAAACTTGAACTATTAAACAAATCTTAATGACCCAAATGAAACAAAATATTTTATAGTGTCAAAAAAGTGAATTTTTAAGTAAACTCAGTGACCAAATTTACAATTTACCAAAAGAAAAACTAATGAATTCATTACCATCATGAAACATAAGAAAAATACTAGTTATCAATAATAGAGAAAGTAATTGAAACCATAAAAATCTAAGATTAGCTAGATAGTAACTTGCATTTGAGTACTAATAGGCTCAAGGTACAATTAAAGACTTAAAACGCAAGTTACTATCTAGCTAATCTTAGATTTTTATGGTTTCAATTACTTTCTCTATTATTAATAACTAGTTTTTTCTTATGCTCCATGATGGTAATGAATTCAGATTGTACAGAAGGAACAAGTTTATCATGATGTATGGGATCTACAAATTTCTGGGTGAACAAATTACAGGACCAAAAAATACCACACAATACCATACAATACCACTCTGCTACGGGGAGGTATCTTGTGGAACACAATGTTTAAAGTTGTAAATGACAGTTAATATATACTTCTACTATCATGTATTCAACCATCCTACAGTCTTGGTTTGTTCGTACCACCATGGTATGCTTTTCAAACCATAGGTATGCTCTTATTTCAATACCAGTCAATACTATATGGTATAAACTGGTAAAAACTAGCTTAATTTTTTTTGTTCGAGAAATACATCAAAGTGGATATCATTTTGAAGAGCACAATTAATTTGATCTTACTGTGCAAAAAAAAAATTGACTTAAAACGAGTGAAAAATCGTCTGTCAAAGGTGAAAGGGGGGAATTAAAGGCTTTTCAGGAAAGAGATGGATGCTGATGTCATGCTGATGTGGACGGGTTACTCATGATTACTCGTCAGTAACCTGATTCGTGTCAAAATCAAACGAACAAGAACACCGAGTTTAACGTGGTTTCCCTGATCAACAGGACTAGTCCACGGGAGAGCAGGCTCTCCAAGTCAATGTTATTAATCTCATTACCCAGTATACACGGCTTACATACATATATATAGAGGTTTTCTTAACCCTAATAACTAAGGACTTATATGTACAATTACATTAAGGTACTTATATTTTCAACACCCTCCCTCAAATTAATGTTGGGTACGTAACATCAATTTGGCTGATAAGTACCAATGTCTGCTCGATGCCAATGCCTTAGTCAATATGTTTGCTGTCTGGTCATCTGCAGATAAATGACTCAGCTGTATTCTTCCTTCTGCTACAAGCTGTCTGATGTAGTGCACATGTACCTCTATATGCTTCGTTCGATTGTGTAGTAGTGGGTTAAGAGCTATCTGTCTAGCACTCGTGTTGTCGCCATACAGTTTCACGGGTATGCTACAATCAACACCCAATTCTCCTAGAAAGCGTTGTAACCAAACCATTTCTGAGCTCACCTCGGACATAGATCTATATTCTGCTTCTATAGATGACTTGGAAACTCTTTCCTGCTTCTTACACCTCCATGAGACAAAGGAGTTTCCTACCTTTATGCACCATCCTGAAGTTGAGTCTTGACACCCGACATAATCTGCATCTGTAAAAGCCTCCAAAACTGCCTCACCACCAGCCGAGAAGAACATTCCCACATCGTGAGTATGCTTGAGATATCTCAAAATTCTGTGAACTGCATCTAAGTGTTGTGCGCGAGCAACACCTAAATACTGACTTACTATTTGCACAAAATAAGCAATTTCAGGACGTGTATGAACCAAGTATATCAAGCTTCCCACGAGGCTGCGATACAACGATTGATCTTCTATCAAATCTCCACTGTCCTTCCGCAGCTTGACATTCTGCTCCATTGGAGTAGAACAAGTCTTACAAACTGTATATTGTGTTGTCTCAAGGAGATCCGTGATATACTTCTTTTGTGAAACAAAAATACCATGTGTTGATCTCTGAACTTCCAGTCCCAGAAAGTATGAAACATCACCAAGATCTTTTAGATTAAAAGCTTCATGCATAGAATCCTTCAACTCTTTTATTCCTGCAGAATCACTGCCTGAGGTGATCATATCATCTACATATATTAACAAGATAACCACACCTTATATCGTATTCCTCACAAAAAGAGATGGATTGTTTTGACTTTGTTCAAATCCCAGCTGCACAATAGTACTGTGAAATTTCTCAAACCAAGCTCTTGGAGCCTGTTTGAGACCATATAGAGATCGAACCAACTGGCAAACACAAACCATAGCCGATGAACCCTTGGTATAACCTGGTGGTCTCTCCATGTATATGGTCTCTTTTAGATCACCATGCAGAAAGGCGTTCTTTACGTCTAGCTGCAGAAGAGGCCATCCCTTCATAGCTGCCACAACAAATATACAACGAACTGTTTGCATTTTTGCTATGGGTGCAAAAGTTTCATCGTAATCAATGCCATATTCTTGGAGAAAACCACGAGCAACTAACCTTGCCTTAAAACGTTCAATCGTTCCATCTGGGTTCATTTTCATTGTATATATCCAGCGGCATCCTATGACCGACATTCCTGGCTATCTAAGCACAAGTTTCCATGTTCCATTTGCTTCCAACGCCTCAGTTTCTTCCACCATACCACCTCGGATCCTCACATTCCTGCGCAAAGAAGGGTTTTGTGGCATAACCTTCATAATTTAATAAGCGCACTGGTGGCTGTCCCAAATTAATTCTAGTCAAACGCCTGGGCTGGTTTTCCTGCTCTTCTTCATTTTGCTGCACCGAAGCATTGGGGCTAGCAGAATTACCCCTTTCTCCACTCGTCGTACCCACTGAAGAACCCATATCACCCATATCATTTCCGCTGTCCCTCCCTGAAGATGACGAGCTGCTGGGGGAACTCATACTTGCCGAGGATCCACTGGAGTTGCTATGTCTAGGACTGCCATGTCCAGGAGATGACAACGAGGAGACAGACCCTCCCTGAGTTCCCACAGCAGTGAGAGGAGGATCGGCAAAACGCGGCAGCGTGGTCAACCAATCAAGACCAACCGCATCGGGAGAAGAAGAATCTCGTCCAGTTGACGAAGAAGAGTAGTACATACGATCCTCAAGAAATAAAAAAATGGTAGGCGATGCGCATACGTTTGCCAACAAGTTCATAGCAGCAGTAACCTTTATGACGGTCGCTATAGCCTAGGAACACACATTTGACAGTTTTAGGTGCGAGCTTATGGCGGTCTTTGCGTGGTAATAAAACGAAGCATGTACAGCCAAATACGCGAAGAAAGAAGTAATTCGGTGTCCGTGAATATATGACCTGGTGTGATTTGGCGATTGATGAGATACACAATCGTATGTACCGCTTCCACCTAGTACCCACTGATCAAGAACAGGTGTGATTTGGCGATTGATGAGATACACAATCGTATGTACCGCTTCCACCTAGTACCCACAGGGAACTTGAGAGTGAAACAATAATGCCCGAGTCAATTCCAAAACATGTCGATGTTTGCGCTCCACAAGACCATTCTGTTGTGACACCCCAGGACAGAACATTTGAGAGACAATACCTTCTGACTTATAGAAGTCGAGCAATTCATGCTTGGTAAACTTGCCACCTTCATCAGGGCGAATAAATTTAATGGTCTTGCCGAATTGTGTCTTGATATGCTGCACAAATTCCTTAGCAATAGAGCATAACTCGGATTTTTGTCGAAGGAAGAATACCCAGGCATACCGCGTTTTGTGATCAATAAACAGAGCAAAGTATTTATAACCCAAACGTGACGTGACGAGTAAAGGACCCCACAAATCCGTATGAACAAGATCAAAAGGTTCTGCATAAATGGTGTCACTAGATGAGAAAGAATTATGAGAAGCTTTAGCTTCAATACAGCTAACACAATCCGATCGAGACCCAAACGAAGAATCAAATTTTCCCGGCAATAAATTCTAACGAAACATAGTTAACAATCTGGCAGAATGCAAATAGCCTAAACGACAGTGCCATAAATCCCAAATAGTTTTTTTCTTGGACAAAGACAATCCGACTAAATTCACTGAGTTGCAAGATAACTGAGCTGACGAAGCAGAAGCAGAGTCTCCTGGAGCCACCGCGGCAGCTTGTGGAAAACGCCCCAGCTCGTCCAACACATAGACATGACCATGTTTACTTCCCTTCACGATCACCATCCCCCGTCTTCTGGTCCTATACCACACAACCGGTTGAATTAAACTTAACGTCACAACCTGTTTCAGCTAACTGGCCGACAGAAACGAGATTTGGCAGCAAACTAGGAACATATAATGTATTTGGTAGAGTAATGGAGCCCGTAGATGAAGTACCCCGACCAACCACAGGAATCTGATCCCCATTTGCTACCCGCAGATGCAAAGTCGACACAGGTTCTAGCTTATCAAAAGTATGACAGACATGGGTCATGTGATTAAAAGCGCCAGAGTCTAACAACCATTTAGCTGACGTACCGGAGAAAGCACCGGTAGCAAATGCTGATGTCAAGGCCTGCGGCAGAGCCTCCTGCAATGCCTCCTGAACAAGCTTCTTAACAAAATCAGAAGATAATGATACATTGTGTCCACCAGAAGAGACCTCAGGCTGCGCATGAGGCATGTCCGAAACAACAAAGGCAGCTCCTGAAGGCTTTGATGAGACACGGACTGCTGATGAAGAAGTTCTAGAAGACATGGCATATGTAGGATAGCGAACCTTGCCCCTCTTCACAAGAGGAGGACACTTAAGAACAATGTGACCTGTTTTCTTGCAATAATTGAAGTAATTTCGTTTCTTGCAGTGAATTTGAACGTGCCCTGACTCATGGCAATGATGGCAGATCAAATCACCACTAGGAGGTGCGCTGAACTGTGGACGAGAGGACAAACTGGATCGACCCACAACAAATGCAGAATCGGCGATGGGATGATCAATGTGGGACTGACTTTTGAGTCTTGTTTCCTCCCTAATGAGCTCGATAACAACTGAATCCAAATCGGTGATCCCTCGATGAATTAAGGAGGCTCGAATGGGCTCAAAGTCAGCCCTTAGTTTCATTAAAAACTACATAATACGAGTCCGAGAGCGCTCCTTTTGAACCTCAGCAAAAGCTTCACCAGTCAATAAAGAAGCAGTTTCCAGATCACATTCAGTCCATAGATGAAGCGCATGCTTATAATAACTGCGCACATCACGATCACCTTCAGCTAAACCACCAAGCTCTAGCTCGAGTTCATAAAGCCGAGAAGTATCAGCTTGGGAGTACGTACTACAGATGTGTTTCCACATCTCATGAGCAGTGCGAAACCTACGTAAACTGAGGGCAGTCGGGACATCAACACTGCCCAGCAACCATGTAATGACCTGAGCATTGGAGGCGGCCCAGTCGACCTTCTCCTTCTCATTGGCTGTGTCGGCGGGTTTCTTCAATTAACCCGTCAGAATCGAAGAGAGTCGTTGTCCCTCCACAAAGTTTCTAAAGTGAAACTCCCATAATGGAAAATTCTTTCCATCAAACTTAACTGAGATATTGCCAACCTTCTGAGACTCCATCTTAGACAACCGAACAAACAGCCCACAGTGCCGAGAATAAACAAAGCTGAAAACAAATACCTGCCCGCGAAAAGAAAGCAGACGTGGAAGAACCAGACCAGAACGCACGGAAGAATGAGATCAGAATGCAGCGCAAACCTGCCGAACAAACCCTAGCTGCCAAACCTTAGCTGCGGAACGGAGTCACCGAAACTTGTTGCAAGGAAGGAATACCAGTCCGTGAATCAGAGAAGCTCTGATACCATGTCAAAATCAAACGAACAAGAACACCGAGTTTAACGTGGTTTCTCTGATCAACAGGACTAGTCCACGGGAGAGCAGGCTCTCCAAGTCAATGTTATTAATCTCGTTACCCAATATACACGGGTTACATACATATATATATAGAGATTTTCTTAACCCTAATAAGTAATAACTAAGGACTTATATGTACAATTACATTAAGGTACTTATATTTTCAACGTTCCCGTACTAATGCACCTAGAGATCATAAACACGATCATTTGACCTACTGTACTAATAGTTGGGCACACTTGCTTTTGCTAAGCCAAGTAGGTAGTAGACATTTATCCAACCATCACACACGCCCTAGGCAAAACTCCACTATACTCTTTTTCAATCGTGTGACCGCCGGAGTATTGAAATGAACGGACATTGTTGGTACATTGGTAAGCTATATGTGGATGTTAATGTATATATCTAAATGGAAATCAAAAGAGGAGACCAATCATTGTTGCCAATTTATCATGCCAACAAAGGAGTTATTTTTGCACAAATGATGGGAGTTATTTTAACCCAGAAACTCCATTCCTCATCAGTTCACATAATTCATAGATTGGCAACAACTCAAAAAAGTCACAATCAGCTCCCTCGGTTTCTCTTCATTGCCCCCCCCCCCCCCCCCCAAGAAAACTGTCCTCTGCTTTCTCCTCCTATAAAATAAAAATGTCAAGGGCTCTCCCAATCAGCAACTTAACGACATTCAAATAAAAAAGATTAAAAGAGAGAAACGTTACGTTAATTCTCAGGCAGAAAGTGGCCGGCAAAACATGGAGGGCGTGAAGCTGATCGAGAAGTCGGTGGTTAAGCCTGAGCGCGAAACAGAGCGCCGCCGCATTTTCCTCTCCGCAATCGACCTCTCCCTCGTAAGTTACCAGGAGAGCGCCCAATTCTTCGACCCTCCACCCACACCCATCAGCTTCTCCGATTCCTGCCGCGCCCTCCACACAGCTCTCCGCCGCCTCCTCGTCTCCTACGACTTCTTCGCCGGCAGACTGGCCCCTGCTCTCGACGGCAGCAACCGCTTGGAGATCGACTGCAACGGCGCAGGCGTCGTGGTCGCCATCGCCCAAACGGAGACCAAGTTGACCGAACTCGGCGAGATTCTGGCGCGCAAGCCCGATTACGAGCCGCTGATTGCTTTCTTGCGCGACGACGAGGACGAGGAGGGCGAAACAGACATACAGAACAAGCCTCTTCTTTACTTACAGGTCCGGTCCGGATATTCGGCCACAACAGCTCGAAATTTTTTTAATCCATCTCTTTCTTTTGACTTTTTGGTTTTGTTTGGTGTGGAGCGCGGGCAGTTCACAGGATTCGGATGCGGAAGCCTGGCGCTGGCCTCCAGCTACAACCACTGCGTCCTGGACGGAATCTCGGTCCACGAGTTCGAGATCAACCTGGCCTCCTTGACCCGAGACATCAACGCGACCCTGAAAGAACCGAACCCGGATCGAACCATGTTCCGAGCCAGAGACCCGCCCCGAATCAACCACCCACACCACGAGTACACCAAACCCTCAATCGCCACGGCCAGCTCCCCATTCAACACCCGCTACGCACACTACACAGACACCCACATGGTCTACATCCCTCGGGACCACATCTCCCGCCTCAAAAAATCGGCTCTCAACGGGATCAACAACTGTAGCACCTTCCAGGCCGTGGCGGCCAGGATATGGAAGGCGAGGACCATCGCGCTCAAGATGTCTCCCGACGAGGCCGTGACCACACTGATGTTCCCCGTGGACACTCGGAGGATGGTCCGGCCCCCGGTTCCGGCCGGGTTCGCGGGGAACGCCGTGGTGCCAGGGTACGCGAGGCTGACTGTGAAGGAGGTGAAGGAAGGGAGCGATTCCTTGCTGGTGAAGAAAGTGCAGGAAGGGCTGGGGAGGCTGGACGATGATTATGTCAAGTCGTCGATTGACTGGCTGGAGGTTCACAGAGGGACGCCGACTTGGGAGAACACTTTCGCGGTGGCGCAGTGGTTTCGGCTGGCCCTGGATGAGGAGACTTATTCTTGGGGGACGGCCAAATGCGCGGTGCCGATCGGGGCCAAGCCTGGTTTGGTGGTTCTGCTGTCGGGACCCAAGAGCCAAGGAGGGCTCACTGTCTGTTTGGACCTCAAGGATGACCAAGTTCAGGAGTTCACTAGGTTGCTCATGGAGTGACGAAGCGATGATAAATCAAATTTTATGAGATTTGTGCAACTGGTAATTTTCGATTTCCTGTTGGAAAATGTGTATTAGATAAAGCTGTCTGTGGTAGGAGATAATAAAACAAAAAACAATTGCGATGTAATTGACTTCTTCAATAATTTTTTTAAGCGTGATTGTCAAGTGACAGTATCTTGACAACGGTTTTAAGCGTGAGAGAGAAGTCCAAAGAAAGGGTTCGTCGCTGCAGATTTCAGGACTAATCCTGCTGAATTCAGCACTGTCATGTCAACCTTGTCTCGAGGGAGATACAGGAACTTTCCCTCTTCAGTTATCTCGAACCCGCAAAGTTCAAGGAACTGGATCCCTCCTATCAATCTTCCAACCCTACTCTGTTACCATATCATATGAGAAGCATGTTAAAACTGCTCTTAATTTTTCTTATTCTCTTATCATTTCCTAAAACTTCAAAGCCATAGTTGTGGCTACATGCTCTACCTGGAACGCCGGGTTGCTGATTCGAATCTTCCTGAACTTTTCCAAATCAGGGTTCCTTGCCACATTGCCAACATAGACAAGAAGAGTTTGGAACGCCTTCGTGACTGTTAGTTCGTCATCCTATAACCAGACCATGAACAAATGAAAACAGAAAGAAGGATAAAGTTCCTGGTAAAGAAAACAATCACTTTAAGCTGGCAAAGAGCACACATATGCTGTCGTTACAGCCATTTTACTTCCTTTAGAATTCCTATAATATTTCATGATTGTTCCTTGAATTTGCACCACACTACTAACAAATTTCTACTTCTTTTCATCATTTATTGACATCAGGTCTTAGATTCCCTTTACTAAGTAAATCTATCCAATTTTGCATCTACAGAGATGAGTCTTTTAGCAGCCAAAAACTATGCTTCTATTGATAATTTACCTTGTGATTGTGCTTGAGAGACCTTAAACATTCTCTTAGTTGTTCAGCCTTTTCAACAGACTTAACATCATAGCTCTGCTGTACAAGCAAAGATCAAAATAATTCAGCTTCACCTTGTGTTTGAAAATCACGAAAGTAAGTACGGAGCATGGTTTAATTGAAAAATCAACCTTTGTGTCCTGAATAGCAGTCTTGGGATTCTGGATAACAGTATCCCGCACTGGAGGCAACCCAAGCATTCGCCTTCTTTCTGCCTGCAAAAGTTAGGCATACCAGATAATGACTTTAAGTACGGGGACAATTTGAATGTAGACTATATCCGCCTTCTTAACAAGTACTGACACCAGACATATTAACCCAAAAAAGACATTAAGCTTAATTTATTTATGGTCATTGGTAAAATGAATACCACAAGTCACTACAGGCCTTGTCATTGTGTTTTCCACTTATCAGGCTATTTAACTTTTATTGGGAGTATACTGCTCTGCTTCAGTGAATGTGGATTGGAATATTTATCCTACTTTCCTTCTATCTATTCATTAGAAGCATCACCGAAGCATCCTAAATGGAAGATCTAATTTTGATTGAATTGACAGAAGACATTGAGTAATTGCTGCCTGGAAAGTGGAATGGCAGACAATTAACCTTGTCCTCTTCTAGTTTCAGTCTGATTCTCTCCCTGGCCTTTTTCTCTTCCTCCTTTTCAGCTTTTTTCTGGGCCAGATATCTGGGCAAAGAAAATAGAACAGACATCACAAGGAAAACAATAAAAGTCATTACATCCACAGGAGAAACTGACAAAAAAATTCACCCATAAAAAATCAACAGTTTACCGTCTTCTTTCACTTTCTTCAGCAATTCGTTTTGCCTCTAGAATTTGCTTACCTGACTGAATTCTTTGCTGTTAACAGTTGTAGCAGAAGATTATCAAAATAGGAATCCAATGACAAGGCGCATAATTATAAGTACCACATGATCTACACCTCAGCACTTTGATAGGCGGATTCAAACTAAATGTTGCAGAGACAAAAGGGAAGACATGAAAAATCCAAAATAACATATTAAACAGGTTACTTGCATAGAGTGTGTTTCAGGTGGAATTTCGCGTGATTAATTCACCCTGACTCTAAGAAAATGGAAAACGATGTTACTCAGTTCACACCTCTTCAAACACTGTTCGAACGAGGGTGTTCGATGCATACATCAAAGGAACTGGCTACTTTTACCTCTACTCCTATGGAGATTCCTTGAGAGCTCCGCAACTACTGACTACAACTAACAGAGAAGCCTCGTTGGAGGGTCCCTGGTGCTACTGCTACGGTTACTGTTCTAGAGAGAAAAGATAAATTTTGACGAGACTTGTTGTGGTATGATTTGTCTGTCCCTCCTCTAGAGTCTTGCTGCCAGTTTTGTTGTGCCTCACCCTCTAACCGCCTTCTCTCTCTCTCTTCCCAAAAATCAACTCCACGTAGCATCCAGTAACTTCCACGAGCGTTCTTTGCAAGTCAAGTGTTGCCTTTGGTAACCACCTCGACACGTCATCATGTCACTTGACCATTGGACGGTCACCGTACACAAAACAAGTTGGATGGTATCCATGTTGACTAAGACAACAGTCCAGTCCATGGGTGGTACTCATATTAAATGGTCACCATACCCCAGCATCATCCATTAGGGTTTGGACGGTATCCATTACACTAGACACTACCATCCATTATGGATTTTGGATGGTATCCATGTATTTGGACACTACCATCCATTATGGATTTTAGATGGTGTCCATGTATTTGGACACTACCATCCAATATGGATTTTGGATGGTATCCATGTATTTGGACACTACCATCCATTATGGATTTTGGATGGTATCCATGTATTTGGACAACTACCATCCATTATTCCTATGGCCTGACTTGATACTTGGACCATTCATGTACACATGGACCAACTACTTAAATTGGTCAAACTGTTCACACGAGAAATAATTAATGAAAATTATTTTGGTGTAAACAAATGCCCCCCACAACTATACTATATGCGCAACCACTTGAAGCAGATGTTGGCTTTATGTAGCCATGTCCAAGTCACATAAGGAATGTAATTCCTTCCTGGCCATGTAAACAAAACACACCAAGAGGTTGTCCCTCTCCAACTCGGCTAATAATACAATTTTTAGCCAATTAATGTAGCCTACCTTTTCCTTTTGTGATAATGAACGCAAATTCTTTTTCATGTAGGACACACCTCATAATCCATATCCTACTAGCAAGAGGTAACTCATTCCTATTAGGGCATAATTAAACTTTTCTCTATAAATTGATGCTCTCATTCACCATAATTCACAACTCAAAAAATATCACCATACCTCCAAAGCTGTGCGATGCTTCCCCATGGCAAGACTCTTGCTACTGCTCGGCCTCAAGTCGCCAAGCTCAGGTACTCGTCCTCTCAATCATGGATGGTTACTCGGCCAAACTCAATCACAATCCATATACAACATGGACGATGTCCTTTTGCTTGGACAACACTATCCATGCAACCACTTAACCAAACCATAGTTACAAATTACTTAAGGCCAACCATCCTTGGCTTCTAGTATCATGGATGATACAGTCTATCCAGAAGGTGGCAAGGTAACCATGTTTTTACTCAACCATCCAAACTATCTAGTTGGACGACAACCATTTTGCTTCCGAGAAAAACAAATCCCTTTTAATGACCAATCTAGAAAAGATTTGTCCTGGCCATCTCACTCCTCGGCCATGTTGCACATCTTAGAAACCATGTCAACTTCAACTAGGTCTCCGTCTGCACTTGGCCGACATCTAAATTACTAACACTCCTTAATGTCCCAAAGGGACGGTACATATGGCATAAAGTACTTGCCATTAATATAAGACTCTCGTAAGTTGGCACTTATAAAAGTTGGACGAGGATCGTCCTCCATGCCAAGATTGATATTCTCCAACACATCACATGAGGCAATGTGCTTGTCATCTTGAACCATTTTCAACAACGTTGTGGCTTCTTTTTAATAACGTCGCCAAAATATTTTAATAATTTTTAATTTTTTTTTAACATATAACATGGCCTAATTTAGCCACACTTTATTTATTTAATAATAAGCTAGACTTTGGCATAGGCCATCATGCCGAAGGTCCATATCCATTGCCAACTCCACAGATCAAACCAAGCATACCAACCGTGAATGCCATCACTTGTCATAGATGGCTTCACACATGTTGGTTTTGATGTTTTGGAGTCTTTGTTGGCTTGCAACTCTCCATTTCGTCCAGCTCGAACAACTTTGTTCAAAACTCTACAAGCCTGATTTGGCCTCATCTCAGCCTCACGAGAACCATAAGTGTTCTTGGCTCTAGACAGGATATTCATGTTTTTTGGCACCTTTGTCTGGCCAAATCGACCATGTGGCATCACTTTCCCACAATGGTTATTTTTTGTCGACTGCACACTCTCCTGACGTTGAGAGGGTGAGCACCGAGGTTTGCGAGCTCCACCAACACGTGTGTGCGAATTGGTCTTGCCCACATGTCCACCATTCATGACAGACTTGTTCGCAGCCAGCATTGGTGTGGCAACTCCATGTCGGGTTTGATCGAGCTTGCCCCCCTGTCCACTCAGTGGAGTCTTTGAAGACCCTTCACATGGAGTTGATCGAGCTTGCCCCCCTGTCCACTGAGTTATGCCACGTTTCGCAGCATTGAATTTTTTCATGTGGCCACCACCTCCATATTGAGGAGAATTTGTGGCAACCCTCATCTGATTTTTTCTAGAACATGATGGATGTGGCAAACTTCTTTGCCACTGACGATATTGTTTCTCCTTCAATCTTCCATGTGGTGGGATCTCACGACCCCCTCATTGCCCCCCAAGTGGTATGAATCCACCAGGATCCACGCCTTGCATATTCATAGGGGGCAGGATTTGCTGCGGGTACTCACGTGGTAGTATCGGGGCAACCTTGTTTGGACCCAAACCCATTCCAACATTAACAGGAGCCATGTATGGTCTGGCTTCTGAAATGTTTTGTCGAGCAACACCTTGCCTAGGTGATGGTTGCTCAACATGGATCTTAGATGAAGTGGCGTGACTCTCGCCAACATTCACCCTTTGAGGTGTTGGTACGGTGGTTGTTACCGGTGGTGTAGGGTTCACCGGGCGTGCCTGCTCACCTCGACCACCACAGTTGGATGGTAGGTTAACGTTTTCACTTTCAAGATTTGGAAAGTCTCGACCGTCTGAAGACAAAGCCCTAGTTTGTAAAACTGGCTTTTTCAACAATTGCCTTAACTCACCCAGATCATTCGTATTTTTGTTTACCAACTCAAAAAATTGGGCCAATCGCCTATCTACGCGGGAATTGAGACAATCAACTTGAGAGTTTACCTGATGAGCCATATCTCTAGCTTCCTCTATCAACCGGCGGCTCTCCGCCATCATTTGGCGGTTCTCCTCCATTGCTTTGCGGTTCTCCTCCATCATTTGACGAAGAGACACGACTGCCTCGCCTAGATCTACATTTGGTGTCATGTTTGGCGCCTGTGCTCCAACATTGTTTCCTCCTGCTTGGTCAACTTCAACGTTAACCAACTGCCCCTCCTCCACAGCACCTTGTGGAGCATCACCATCCTGAATTCTTCGTCGCGGAGCCATATCGAACACACGTGGTCCCACCGGGTGTGCCAATTTGTTTTCCGGCGAGAAAACTCTTTGTGTTGAATTGAGATGGATTGCACCTTTGACTTCTTTGGGCAACGATTACTAAGACACGGCTCAAACCTCTTCAAACAAAGTTCGAACGAGGGTGTTCGATGCATACATCAAAGGAACTGGCTAATTTTACCTCTACTCCTATGGAGATTCCTTGAGAGCTCCGCAACTACTGACTACAACTAACAGAGAAGCCTCGTTGGAGGGTCCCTGGTGCTACTGCTACGGTTACTGTTCTAGAGAGAAAAGATAAATTTTGACGAGACTTGTTGTGGTATGATTTGTCTGTCCCTCCTCTAGAGTCTTGCTGCCAGTTTTGTTGTGCCTCACCCTCTAACCGCCTTCTCTCTCTCTCTCTTCCCAAAAATCAACTCCACGTAGCATCCAGTAACTTCCACGAGCGTTCTTTGCAAGTCAAGTGTTGCCTTTGGTAACCACCTCGACACGTCATCATGTCACTTGACCATTGGACGGTCACCGTACACAAAACAAGTTGGATGGTATCCATGTTGACTAAGACAACAGTCCAGTCCATGGGTGGTACTCATATTAAATGGTCACCATACCCAGCATCATCCATTAGGGTTTGGACGGTATCCATTACACTAGACACTACTATCCATTATGGATTTTGGATGGTATCCATGTATTTGGACACTACCATCCATTATGGATTTTGGATGGTGTCCATGTATTTGGACACTACCATCCAATATGGATTTTGGATGGTATTCATGTATTTGGACACTACCATCCATTATGGATTTTGGATGGTGTCCATGTATTTGGACACTACCATCCATTATGGATTTTGGATGGTATCCATGTATTTGGACACTACCATCCATTATTCTTATGGCCTGACTTGGTACTTGGACCATTCATGTACACATGGACCAACTACTTAAATTGGTCAAACTATTCACACGAACAATAATTAATGAAAATTATTTTGGTGTAAACAGAGTGCAAGGAATCCAGTCAACAGAGATCCTATTCCTACTAACCATTGCATGGATAGTATTTTTTCTGCACCTCTTTCCATTAAATTTTGGAACCAATAGACAAATCTCAGATCCATGTGAAAGCATAGACATTAAGCCCCTTATCCCCATCATGGCTATAGCTAACAAATGCATGATAGAATTAGGGTCATCCCACTATATGATGAAAAGAGAAAGTCCTAATATGTACCTTCTCCCTTTCCCTTTCAAGTTTTTCTTCTTCTTCTTCTCTCCTCATCCTTCGAGTTCTATCCCTGAACCGGAGGAAATAATAACAGTCAAATTAAAAATCTCAGATGAGAACTAAATGCAAGGGGTTCAATTACAAACAGTCAGGAAACAGGAGCCTCACAGTAAGTAGAGAAGACAAACCTTAAATCTTGTGCTTTTGCTTCCATTTCCTCCATGGTATATGACTGCTCAGAAGGACATTCGATATCTATGTTCACTGCTATCTGATTTTAAAGGACAAGCATAGTTATGAAATCAAATCTTCAAACCCTTCCTAGAAAAGTAATATGAGAGACAAACCAGCTGACAGATATATGAAACGCACAATGCAGAGAAATGGTAGCAAAGTATATCAGGGTTCACCCAAAAAAAGCAAACGAGGTAGGGAAGTATAAGCTAAGAGACCACTCTATTTTTAACCAAGACTCTAACCTACAGATTGTTTTCAAAGGCAGTAAGTACACTTGATGAATTCCATCGTAAATGCCAACCCCCCAATTCCAGGCAGGTAAAAACAATACCAAGGGCATTTTATCAATGTCTGGGTCATTCTCGTGATCAATGATCCAATTAACAGCATCCTCAAGCCCCAAATTTCCTGAAGAAGAGAAAATGGCATTTTAGAATCGTGCATCCCTACAATAGGTTTGAAACTCACCTAGAACATACTAGAGTCGCATGAGATTACTTAAATGGTGAAAAAGTTGAAATGGCTTCTTCTTCAACCCAACATCTCTCCTAATCTAAAGAACAAGGAAACCACAGAAACTATATTCCAATCAATGGGAATATTGGAGCTGCAAAGCAAATGAACTCACCAGAATGATAAAGTGCTCTGGCAGCTCGAGCCTGCGGAAAGCCCATGTCTTCAAGTTCCCCAAGCAATTTCTTGTTTACTTCCACAACATCCATCTCTGTGAAAAACGAGTAAGATACCTTTGCGAACCCTCAAGATTTCATACATTTCTAAATAACAAAAGACTCACTAACCATTTGCAGAAGCCATCGAACGGGTAGAGCTTGGCGTGAAAAGGACTACCGATGAAGCAACGCCGGGAGACGCAGGGAGGTATAAAGAGGGGTCAGAAAGTGCATCTCGGAAGGCCATAGAAGCCCTAATGTGCACGCATTTGGTCATTTGGTGAATTGAAGTTCTAGACCAGAAGATTCTTTGCTCATTTCATTTGCAGAAGACCCTGGCATTTTTCCTCTCCCACACCTGTGCTTGCTTCCTCCTCCGAGATTCTGATTCCATCGAGTTCCCAGCCTTATATAGTTTTTGGGTACTTGCCTCCGGCTGACTGGAAAGAGCCCATGGGCCAGTGCTGAAACCAGTAGGCCGAGAGTCGAAAGAAAGAACCCATCAAAAGCTGGACTTTTACTCTGAATACACTCATTTTATTAAAAAAAAATCAATCTACACATGTTTTCACCTTCACCGCAGCAGTATAACACAATGAAGAAGTTCACCACTTTGTTAAGCAACGGTGAATACATCATGTGATGCACGATAACTGTGAAGGATAAACCGAAGAATCGCCACCTTAAACAACAACGGTGAAGGATTCACCGCTGTCGTCCAACGCAGTGAACCTTTCACAGGGACTTTCCAACGCAGTGAATAATTCACCGTTCACAAACACAGTTAAATGTTCACCATTTTTTACTAAGGCGTGAACATTTGCCAAGTTTTCCACCCATGCTAGCTGAACAATTAGACAACCGCGGTGAATGCTGGTTGTTTGTCAAATAAATAAATGTTCCTCCTCCCACGTAGCTATTAAAAAAAAACTGTCCCCGTTTATGGGTAGCCTCTCCCTCATTTCTGTCAAATTTAAGCAAAATTCCCCTTCTCAGCCTCCTCCCAGCAACTACGCTTACAGAAGCTCCAATTTTCTTTTGTATTGTTTAAATTTTGATGTTTTAGTAGTTATATGTTTTGTATTTAATGACTTACTGTTAGTGGAAAATATGTTATGTTAGAGATATTTTGATTCATTATGGTATGATGGATGTTAGTTAGTTATGATTTTAGATGATGTTGTTAATATACTCATGTTATAGTAATGCTAATTATGCTACATGTTTCGATTACTTAGTTGCGGTTGTTTATGGTTTTGGATGGTATTATTTACGTAGCCCTAAAATTATGGTTTTGGATAATGTTTGTATAGCCCAAAGTACTAATTAAGAAGTTTCAACTTATTATTTGGTGGAATGGTCGAGTGAAAAACTCTATTGTTGTGATCGATTATGAAGATGGTTAATTTACTATGATGAAAATAGAGTCCAGATTTACGTGGCAAGAACTTCGTGACATTTTTGAAGACAAGATTTGTATGAGCGGACAGACGAGAGTTGGTAACATTACTTACCAGTATCCAAACATGAGCGTTGGCAGGCTTATGTACGAACAAGTTGTCATAAATGATGATGACGTGGTTTCCATAAGGTTACAATTCCTAGCTGACAATAGGATGCAACTTGCAGAGGTCTATGTTGACATCGAGAAGCTCGGGGAAACTCATTCTCTGGTGTTCTTATGATGATGGTTTTGTAGGAGGGTACGAATGGGTGGTAGTTCAAGCAACTACAGAGGAGGTAGTTCTGTAGGAGGGGTTCCATTAGAAGAATATCCTCAACGTGCTGAGCCTGCCCCATTCGTTGAGCTCGACGACGTTCAATGGCCTGCTTGGGGGCCATAGTGGGCTGGCATTGAGAACACCATTCAATCTAGGCGTACTTTGCATGAGCGAGAAGACGATGTTGGTGGTGCTGGTGGTGCTGGTCACAATGATCCTCCTAGCCCGAGCTATCCATTTGTCTCCAACGAAGAGGAAAGTGAGGAAGATTTGAGATCAGTTAGCGAGGAGGAAGATACGAACGACAAGGTGGCGTTCCATGAACCACCTATGCCATACTACACAGAGGTTCCATCGCAATTTTTATATGGTCAAAACGATGTCCTCAACTTTCTCCTTACGTTCGTGTATAATCCGACGACCAATTTGGAGGTGGGCATGGCGTTCACTTTGAAGGACTGATGACTCGATATTTGCACATGTTTTCTCCTTTGTTTCTTGACTGTTTGAGCTTTAATTATCGCGTCTTTGGCCTATTTTACGCTAGGTTGTGTTCCTTTGTCACATTTCAGGTTCTAGCACATAAAGTGAAGCATAGGCGCAAGTTTCAAGTCAATCAGAGATCATTTGGCGATTAGGAAGAAGAAACTCGGGCATGACCTGAAGAAGAATGGATTTATACCTAACTTTATGGACAAATAATCATGCAAGCTTGTCATGAAAAGAAATAGGACAAGACTACGAGCGTCTGGGATCAAACGGCGACTGATTCGGAGTCCGGACGAGGGAGAAACAAAGCATTGAATATAGGGGAACATGTTCGTCAGTAAAAACATGGGCTGGCCTAAAGAAAAACACGGTCGTGTCCATATTTAGGCACGACCGTGTTTTGACCGACGAGGGATGCAGGGGGCAAAACACGGGCGGGCAAAAGTAAAACACGGTCGTGTCCTCGACCGTGTTTTCCCCAAAATCGGGTTTTTTAGGCAGATTGAAGCCAAAGGAAAGGGAGAGCTGGGTTTTGGATCCCAAACACCCAAGGGACGAACCAAAGAGAGAGAGGGCGATTTGAGGGCATTCTTGGAGTGGAACTGGAGGGTTTCTTCGCTTTGGAAGCTCGAGGAACAAGCCCGGACTTGAAGACTGATCATCTGAAGATTCTTACTACAGTCTCTCTCTTCTCTATGGAGTAACTTCCCTTCACTTAGGTTTTGAGGAACCCTAGCCATGTTTGTTTGATTGGATGATTGTATGAGTACTCCTACTTGATAATCTTGAGTTCATATTCAATCTATGCATGTTTTCATGATTCAATTCTGCTTTAGTCGAGATTATTGATTATGCTTTGAACCTATGAGAGCGAATACCTGATTAGGTCAATAGAGCACCATAGATTGATAGTATTGGATCGATTGCTTTAGTCGAGGGTTGATTCACTGCTTTGTATTGATTGAGAACCTCATTCTTTAGAGGGAGTCTAGTTCAGAATGCCTTGATCGATTGTTCTAGAGAATGATACGTCCCTCTAGGCAATTGACTCAAGAGGGCCTTGTTCCTTTAGTCGAGACTCAAGGTCTAGTCAAGGATTCTCCGCATTGTGAATGAAAGTGAAACAAGTTAGAGATCATCAATCGTTAATATGGCTAGTGGCTTGGGGGAATCATACCTAAGTGAGTTCTCAACCTGTAATTAGATTAACTTTAACTGTAGTTTGCTAGAGTAGTTTTAGTTCTTCCTTACTAATCTGGTTTGCTAAATAATGAACTGAAGCTGAGTAATAGTAACTCTAGAGACCCGTGGATTCGATATTTATTACTTGAGCCACTATACTGCAGTCCCTTCCATTGGTTACACTTGGCCATTGTTAGGAGTTGTGTCATAGCGAGTCAAGGACACTGTTCAAGATGTTTTTAGCGAAGAAGCCATGCAGCGGAATTTCGAGTGGAAATTAAAATATTCTGATGAAAAACAACTACATGTCATATGCAAGAATGCTGGAGAGGATTGTATGTGGCAACTACGGGCTACAAAATATGAAAAGAAAGGGTTTTTCAGTAATTCATACAGTAGAGAACAACCACAACTGCTCCTCGTCCATACTTTCTCAGGATAACTGCCAACTTAAAGAAGATAAAGTGGGGAAAACCATTAAGCATTTGATCGAGGCACAACCATATATCAAGATCAAAGATATCATGGCCGAGATGAAAGATCGACATTCCTACACAATCAGGTACAAGAAGGCATGGCATGGAAAGTAAAAGGACATGGCTTAGGTGTATGGTGATTGGGACGACTCCTACGCTTTACTCCCTAGAATAATGTCCGCAATGGAGGGGTCCAACCCTGGGACTGTTTTTTTGCCATAGTACAACAATGTGCAAACTGAAGATCAAGTTCGAGTACAGAATGAGTTGATGTTTTACTGTCTATTTTGGGCATTCAAGCCATGCATTGATGGGTTTGCTTTCTGCATTCCAGTTATCCAGGTATATTATCGTCAACAGATGGTTGTCGATCTCAATCCGCATGAAGTGCTGACACACCTCTACCGTCACACTAGAAAGTGGCCAAGTGTAACCACCTACTAATGCGTAGTATAGCGGGTTCAGTTCTAAATGTCAACCCGGGTCCTAGGTGTGATGCTACTCCATGAAAATCTTATTATTTAGCGGTTCAAGTGTAGTGAAGGTTTAACTAAACTAGCAAGCAAAAGCTGTGAAAGTTGAGAGAGGTCACACAGATATGGTTCCCCCTAGACTGCAGTTCAGCCAGGTTGTAATTTACCAAGTTCAAGTTCAATAATAGTTATACCGCGGGAGGTTCTTAAACAGCCTGCAGTCTCGACTAAAGGTCTCCAGACCCTTTCAATCTCAGTCCCCAGCATGCGATTAACCTCCACCGTAGTAAACAGATTGAGGCCCTAACGAACCAAACCTCCTCTACCGAAGTAAATCCGGTACAAAATAGTGAATTGACTCCTCGACTAAAGTCATCAATTCACTACCTTCAATCAAGGGTGCTCTATCAACCTAGGCAGATATTCTCTTTCTAGGTCAAAGCAAAAATAATAGGAATTTTATCAGGATTCATGTCATTCAGGAAATCAAACCTCAATTAAATATAATCAACATCAATGAATTCATACTTGGATTCATACAATCAGACATAACATACAAATCTAGGGTTCTTCATACCCAGGTGAGTGAGAGAGTTTATTCCATAGAGAGAGAAGGGAAATCTAGCTCAGATGCGGAAACGATGCTGTGAAGGATGGGATTCTGCTTCTGGCAATCAATCGACACTTCTCCAAGCTTAATCCGAGCTCCAATGGTGATGAAGATCGATCTAGGGCGCTTGGAGAATCTGGTTCGTCACTCTCTCTCTAGGTATCAGCTTTCTATCTCTAAAACTCGGAACCCTCAAAAATTGGTCTTCTTTCCCTTAAAAACCAGCAGGTCGCTATCCCCGGCCATAATACCCGATCGGGTATTTCAGGTGCCCGACCGGGTCTTTTTAAACGCTACACAGTGGGGAAAAGGGAAATACCCGATCAAGGTTCATAATACCTGATCGTGTATTTTATCCATCCAGCTGGGACCCCTTCTGGAACTCTAGCGTCCAAAACATGAAATCCCCGGCCTCTCTTTGCATTTTAC